TTTTTATATGCACTACAAGTAAATATTAATTTTAAAACTTCCTTATCACTTGAACGCATTATAGAAGGGTACAAGTCAACTTATATTAAGTTAGTGACTGACATATTAGGTAGCGTTTGCTTCCAACTGGTCAAAAGGAATTCGTAAGGAGGTTAGGTCTGCTTGATCACATGCTAACGTTTTTAGCATATTGTGAAGCTATAGTCCTCCTAGTATGATGCACCTTAGCTTCCTGTTAAAAAATATCCCGTACAAACGTTATCCACATATCATATCTTCTTTCTTTCTTTATTTCTTACTATTCCATGACAAATACTTTTACGCTCACAAAGAGGCTCTCGTTTCATAAATACATCAAACCATATCGGCATAAGTGATCATCATATTGTTAAGGAAATGCTCATGCCACGTATGTTCCTTTCAGATCCCAGAAAAAATTTATTCCTGAGAAAATCAGCTGACCCTGTTTTTTTTCATTTTTATTCTACTAGACTATTATAGGGAGAAAGAACCCATGTTCTAAAGATAAGGATGAGGATGGCGAGGAAAATGGAAATGAAAAGAAGGCACACTACTATAAGAAGAATGTTGTGGGGAGTAAATCTAACCAGTTTGGAGGTCGATCTGCAAAAAGTGCTGAGACTAACGTTAGCGATGAGGATGAAGATAGTGAGGAAGATCCGATTACCAACAAAATATGTAAACAAAGAACCAGCGGAGTGTTAAACAAAACATTAGGAGATCGCAAGGAAGAAAGGGAAGAGATTAATGAAGATATTAATAAAAAGAATAGGCACAATGTAATGGCGCTACAGCAAAAACATACTGGGACCGATAGCAAAAATAAAGAAGCGAAAAATGCGGTGTACAATGGCATAAAAAAACGTCTTGCAACAAATGAGTTAGTGCGTGATAATGATAACCCCATCCCACTAACCAGAGCTTTTGTCGGCAACGAAAATAGAATCAGAGTACCCCAGAAAGGGGAAGAAAGACGAAGCGAAAGGGCAACTGATTGGCAATCGCAAGAGCCAATTCCACCATCTCGGACAATTAGGAC